ATATATCCAAAGGTTATACTGGTGGTTTGAGGACAACTAGATAAAGTTCTCTAAGACTCTTAGCGACCCAGTAACAGGCTTGGGTATTCCTGCTCTAAGCTCTGAAATAGGAGATCTTCATTTCCTCAGGCCTCAGGATTGTCCTGGGAAACCCCAAAGTCAAAGACTGCAAGAACATATACATAAATAGGATAGTGAAAAATAATCTAGTGAATTAGATTATTCTAGTGAACACATCTAGATCCTATACCTTGCTATATAATTACATTCTTAATTATATTAATCCTTTGTGATACTTTAAAATAAAAAGCAACTATTTTCCTGTTTTACATGATTTCCAAGTGTTTTACTGCAAGCCTCTCTTTTTTTTAGCTTAGATAAAGAATAAGTTTTTTATATAGTTGAAAAAGTAGAAGCTGTCACTGGTGGTGACATACTGTATAGGGTGGCTTTAGATGTTAACAACTGAATGGTTTGCTTCCAAATGTTATCTGTTGTTTTGTAAGTGACTCACTGAGCCCAAGGCATTGTATGCAAATTCCATTTATGTTCTTCCCACAATAGCATTTTTGTGACATATGTTTATTTTCACTGCAATAATAGAGGGAAATGCCAGTCTGATAAATACCCAACTGATCTATTTCATGTAGGTACATTGAGAGTATTTTGTTCAATGAAGTAGGGATCATAATTACTTTAATTTTACACTTTTCATAGGATTTGACTTTGTAAGAACATGGACTTTCTGAAGTGGCAACTATTTTTTGAAATCCTGCATGTTTTTTCTTTCAGCTAAACACGAAGTGACTGAGTATATTGTTAAGAACAATTGTTCTTGGCTTTCAAGAGATCATCCAAACTTAAATACGCATTATTATCATACTTGGGAGACAAGTAATGTGATCAGTAATCATTAAAGGCTTATTGCAGAACTTTTGGCATATGGTATCTTAATGTGTGAAAAATTATAATGCCACTCTTGTTATTGTATTTTGGATGGGAGTATCTGAAAGCTGTCTCAGTTTAGCTAATTCGAATTTATGAATGGTCTTGGTATTTGTCACAGGGTCAACCAATTAAAGGGCAAAATTATTTTTAGTGTTATGAAAAGCTAGTTTTAAGGGCAAACTGAAGGCTTTGCATTTGAAATCCTTCAGTTACTTCAGTATTTTCTGGAGTTCAAATTAATTAAACATAGCCCTCAATTTTGTTCCCTCTTTTGGACATTTTTATCAGTCACATTTCAACCTTCAGACTTGTCTTCACCTCCTAGCAAGCAGGTAAATGTTCATTTTGAAGGATTGCTGTTCTGTCTGCTGTTTCCTTTATCTAATCAAAAGCTCTCCTCATCTGCTTTGTTGACTGGCACTGACATCAACATTGACTGATGTATTTGAAAACAGCTGCCTCGTATATTTTCTTAATTAAATCACAGCATTTGCAGACTTTGGTTGATGTAACTCTCTATTCTACAAATGTGTTATTTCTCTCCTTCATTTTACATTAGCATTTGTAAATCCAGAGGTGCAGATATTTTGACCTTGATGCTTTGCTCAGTTTGCATCGTGTGTAAGCATAGTGCAGTACAGTTTACCTGTTAGCTGCTTAGGTAGTTGGAGCAAGTATTCCTGGCAATTTTTGAAACGCTGTTTTTGTATCTGTAATGACCAATCCGTATGCTAGATGCCTGACTTTCACAGAAATAATTCTCCTGATACATCTGCAGCACTGCTAGCAGGCAATTTAGATTTGCAGTTTAATTTTAGTGGCATTTCAGAGAAAAATTTTCACTTGTCACTAAATTTTTACTTGAACTCCTAAACTGCTCTTTACTGTAGCCCAAGACAAGGCATACACTGATAATAATGTTGAACTTGTAGTTAGTTTTATATTCTGACTCTAGTTTTTCAGATGACATTGGCTTTTGTAGAGCAGACCTACCTACTAGATAGTGTTTTTCTTTAACTTTCCAAGTATGAGATCTGTACTTTCATCCCATCTCACAATTAGAAATAATTTTTGCTCTTCATTCTTTTAAAATTACGATTAATTTTCCCATCATGGCTACAGAACTAGGTTGAGACAGAAGCTGAAATAATTCCACAACACAATACTGTTTTCACTCCCACATGGTTAATGTGCCCAAAAATCATTGGGTGATTTACTGGTTACTTCTGTAAGAACCCTCTGCAAGAAGGGCCATTTAGTGCGTCAGTGGTTTTACATCAAAGTGAGTTGATTAGAGTTCCATAATCATCATGTGGTGCTACTTAAGCAGCAAAACATACTACTTAAGCACAGCAAATAAGAAATCATCACATGATATTGAGGGGAAATGGAAAAATGAATGACGATAATTTGAGTCTGGAGAAATAACATTGTCTTATAAAAGACAATGGCTTTAAAATCACACAGTGGAAATATTAGGTTTCTTACATTTTAATAAGAATGGAGGGCTGATCATACCAAAATATTCTTTTCTGGGAAATATGACATACATTAAAGGAATAATGAAGCAGAAAATTTGGTTATATGCTATCCATCTCCTTGTGTTCATTTATTTTAAAGGTGAAGTTTGCATTATGACACTGGTAGAACTGGAAATTATTTTTATTATTCATTATCTCATCCTTTTTCCATACTTTGGTTACTGTAAATAATTTTTATATATGATCCTATATTTATAGTTGTATTATGAAAATTGAAGCCCTGATAAACAGAATATTAGAATAATAAACAAGCAATCTTTGTCATATTATTATACACAACTGACTTCTGTAGAATGTTTGGTCAAATACAGCATTGCATTTTTCAAAGTTAAAGCACTTGTTCATGCTTTTGCATGTTTTTGGAAACAGTTGTCCCCTTGTGACACATCAGGAGCAGTATATTGATAGAAAGGGGGACAGAAAACTTCACATAAAGTCATTTGAGAATAAGTTGCTCCCACAGATTTTAATCACCTGGGGATCAGAGCTGTAAAATTGGGACAGAATAGTATCTGTCCTTATTAATTAGATATATAAAAATTCTTATGTAGATATTCTTATAGTGTATTTTGCCTGGATATAATCAATACAAATTTTTAGCTAATACAGTCCTCGTGAAAACAGCAACTACACCATAAAAATATCAGTATCTCACCAAAAGACAACAATAATTCATGAGGAATGAGGAAAAAGAATCTGCCTACGAAAATCAATACAATATGAAGATGACATGGTGTTAGATTAGTTGTGAACTACTTAATGCTCAAAATCAAAGTGTTGGGTTTTCTTGTTTAGGTACTACATACATACAGGAGTGGCTTATAGTACAGTGTTAGAGGATGAGGCTGACAAGTTCATGCTTTGAAGTCTCTAGTTCATGGGGCATTTTGACACATCTTTTGTCAAATCTTCTTCCTAAGAGCAAGGAGCATGCTTTGTATGCATCTGATTCCAGGACGTAGAAAATCTGCTTACCTCCTAAGCATCCTATTAACTTGACTTGAATTATTATGCAGAAATAAAAATGGTTTGATATTATCAATCCCTTCATCCTTTTAAGTTCTGGTTACATGTCCTACAATTAGAGTGCAAGTTGATATTTGCTTCTGATAACAGTTAGCTGTCTATACTTTGTGCCTGGTACTTAGTGATTTATTTTAGACATGTATGTAGTCTGAGCAGTTACTGAAATCTGTGACCTTATTTGCCTTATCTTGTTCACAGTAATATTGAACTAATAAGCAGTATTGAGACTTAAGCAAACAAGGCCTGATTTTTGAGTTATTTTAAAGCTTTTCACCAGGTTGACAGCATAAAATTACATTTACATTTACTTTCACTGAAGATCCTTTATCAGGAGAGGCATAATAATCTGTTTTCAGCTGAAATGTAAATTAAGAGTTCTGGATTTTGGTGCCTTTACTAACATGGAATTTTCCTGATTTTTTTGAACATCTTATTTGCCAGTGAGAAAAAGAGCTCACTCAAGAAATCTGGATAGATAAAACAGTTTAAAAATTGGCCAAGACAATAGTTTTACTAATCTTAGTCAAGAGTATATTAAATAAAAATCTCTGTGTTGTAGCTAAAAGGAGATTGTCATTCAAATAGAGTTAAATACAGAGTATGAGCAGTAATATGCACTTCCATTGAAGACTACAGTTAAAATTACAAGTGCTGCAACGTTTCTTAAGAGAAGTCTCATCTTTGACTTTAGATAGACAAATATAGAGGTAGCTAAAAGGGAATAATTTTTCTGCATCCCTGTCTTTCTGACAGTACATATATATTTGTACTTAGACATATATGTATGAGAGACAAATTTTAAAGAGATTATGAACTGATTACTACTTGGGCAGACAACATTTTGCACATTAAAAGTATTCTATATATGTTTTTAAAAAATGTTGGAATCTCTTATAAATGCATTTTTCAGGGAGTAGTCTTTATAGGTATGTGGGTAAGAGAGACCAAATATGTGTGTTCTCCATACACAAAATTGTATTATTATTAACAATATCCTCCTGTTTACAGCTATATTCTCATGTGCTTCCTTTGCCCCAAGAGCGTAGTTTGTTTTCTATAAATTATCTGTACTACTTTATTATGATCTGCAAGTTTCATTGTAAAACAGCAGGCTAGTACATGCAATATGTAAGTCACCTGATAATTCAGTCTTTTTCAGTGCTTAGAAAAGTAAAATAAATATTTCACTAACTCTACATTTCTCATTCCAATTTCATTATATGAACCTGAAACAAAACTTGTGGGATTTTTTCTACTCTAGTAGAGGGTTTTTTTTATTGTAACAAAGAGTGAAGCACAAAACACCTTATTTTAAAATCTATTTATTGCCCAATTTTCAAATCTCCAGACACTGCTGGGCATTCTCAATGTAATGGAGATGACAATCTAGGTGTGACATGTTTTATCTCATAGGTCAAGAAAACATTAGCCTTTATTAATACAGTATTGAGAAAAGAGAATTAACTGTCTTTAATACTATTTCTGTTTATTTTACAGTTTAACAATAATGCTCAGAATGTCAGCTGCTTTAATCATCTTGTTCAAGCTAATGTGAGGAACAAGAAGAAGCTGAAAGAAGCTGTTTATAAAATCTCTGCTAAAGGAATTACAGATTACAAAAAAGGCTTTAGCTACGCTTTTGAACAGCTGCTAAATGTAAGTATGAAAGTCATCTCTGCTCTAAAGTGAAGGAGATAATGAATGTTCATATGGCCAGTGAACATCCTCCATTGTGTAACTGGGTTATAGAAGTGCAAACCTTATTTAGCAAGTAAGTTTATCCCAATGGTTTGTTTGTTTGTTTGTTTTTTCTTTGGAGATCTTTGCTAAGATTTGGGAATAAATTTGGTTTCCAAACTGTTTTTATTTTATTCATTCAGCGTTTAACGTGTGATCCTTCATTGGCACACGGCTGTGGAAGTGGTTGACTTGCAGGTAATTTTAAAATAGAAGACTCTATGTTAGAGAGTTATTTCAATTTTACCAGTGTCTCCTAGCAATGTTTAGCTAACCTCCAATTTTATCCTTATTACAAGTCATATATAGTCAACCATGGCTTGAGCAGGACAGAGGGAACAAATGACTTCATAGAGGACTAATTTAGGCACCCAAGAGCATTCTGATTCCTATGTATCAGTGAAGTCTTTCAGTATGCAGATCTTTAATTTTTTCCCCTATTCTTGAAGATTGTGGACTTCAGGGTGCTTCCTTGCCAGTCTAGATGCAATTTAGGGCTAGAGCTAGTTGAAAAGTTTCTAATCTTGTTAAACTTAAAAAAAAATTAATTTTAACATTTTATAAGGTAAAAAAGAAAATACAGTATTTTCAAGGGTAATTTCTCAGCAAATCACTAGTAGACAAGCAGGGAGATTTGGTGGGGAAATGATAGGGTGCCCTCTGCTGATGGTTTTGTAAAAATGCAAACAGGATTTTAAAAGCTCTGGCATTTTTCAGGCCAAGCTGAAAGACGTTTCCCCTTTTTCTTCATCCTTTTTATGCAGAGGGAACCGGGAAGACAGAAGACATTTTACCAAACTCCTCTTGTTCCTCACAGTATTTATATTTGATTAACATTATACACTACATTTGGTGCAGCACCAGATATGTACTTTGTGTACATGCAATATTAAGAAGACCTGAACACAGAGGAAGCCTCAAAGTGGACTTTTTTTCTAGAACTAAAAAAAAAAACCCACTTAAGAAATAATTGGAGATCTATCTCCTAGTGGGATTGTCTCTCTCATAACTGGAAACAGAGCTGTGATTAGCCTAACGTGATGTCTGGAAGCCTGTAAATGATGGCTGGACGTTGTGGGTGTGTATATCGAGGTAACTGAAGAGATTGCACTGGGTTATAGAAATACAGTCATCCTCTTCAGATACTGGCAAATTCATCTGGAAGGAGGAGTGCTAGTGATGCGTTTAGCACTGAATTCTGGTGACAAGACAATATAAGAGGATAATATAATACAGGCTTAAACAAATAATTAAAAAAAAATGCTGAGGGATAGTTTCCAGTTGTGTGTTTGTGAATTCAAACAGTCCAATTGCTTTAAGGTCCATAGAAATGGAATATTTTTTAACAGCTCAAATTTTCATAATTTTGTGGGCACTGTTTCTGGATGACAGTTATTTCAAACTGTTTTCCTGAATACCAAGCTAATATTTCACTAGTGCCATGAAAAACTTACTGTCTGATGTGCTACTAGATGGAAATAGACACTTCAGGGTTTTTTTATCATGCTAATTCAATAATATCAGTAATCTGGATTCCATAATTTTTATACACTATTTTTCCATTATTTATTGTTCTATTAATTTGGTATTTCTTTGAAAATAGTAATACTTCAACTTCAGTAATTTAGGAGCTTCTTTTTTCCTTGTACCGTAATAACTGCTATTTGAAAAAAAAATTACTCTTGAAATCATCTCTTCTTGACTTGATTTTTGGTTTGGTTTACCTTTTCCTTCCTCATGACATGAAACTCATAATGAAAAATGCATTCCTAAAGTGTCATGGCATGAGGTAAATTCCTCACCTGCTACTTAATGAGTTAATTTTAGGGATGTGAAACTTGTATAAAACAAAGGCAATTTTAGGTATGATATAAAATGGATTATGTCACGCTTGCTTGTTTGAAAGAAGAAAAGAAAAAAAGGCCTTTATCAAGCACAAGAGAGAGCTAAAAATGGACATGTAGACTCAGTTCCAACTTGCATTTTTTCATGGTTTAAGCTAAAAACCCAGAATTTTTCCTGTGGAAGCTGATGTATGGGCAACATATACCTCTTCAGCTGTGGTCTGTGATAGGAGAGCAAAGACATTCATTGGGCTGCTGAGGCAAACTGTTCAGAAAAATGTTGAAGTTACTGCATCAACTTTGCAAACTCAGTTATATTCACTCTCTGAGCCAGTGTCCCCTTCTTTGTGCAAATGGGGAAGAAAAGCTGTGCTGTAAAGGCAGCTCTGCCTTCCTCTTAAACTCTTCTAAGAGACTAATGTAATCAGTTCATTCACCAGGATGCGAAGTTTTTATGGTGGCAAAACGTCATGATCTGAGTTTGTTAATTTTCAGATTTCTAGTCTTGTTTGAAGGCTAAAATCTCGGGATTTTTTTTCTCATGACATGATTTTAATGTCTCAATAGAGTAGTGTAAGTAAATGCCCTTTTGCAAGTACTGGAAGATAAAGAGAAAACACTGCATTTTTGTGATACTGCGATATTTACTGATACTCAGCATATGCTGAGTAAACTGCTAGAAAAATACTGATTTAGTCAGTTAGACTTGCTCAAGTTCACATTGCCCATAATAGCTCTCATTTCAAAATCAACAGGAAAATTTTACAGTATGAGGAGACTTTGCTCCCATTCCTTGTCATCTCTTTGGTTTGCCTCTGATTTTAGTTGGCCTTGTATATTAAATCAGTGTAAATGTAGGTGAGTTTATGAAGTATTCAATTCTACTTTTATTACTTTTTTAATATTGTAAAGACTGCAGCCCAAAGCAGTATCTTGTAGGTTATATTTCACAAGCAAAAAAAGAGCATAAATTATTTAATTCCAAATGAAACACAGGGTGCTGGTGAGATTGGAGGGAATATATTGGTTTCAGGTGGGTTTTATGTGTTGTTGCATGTAAAAAAATCTATGTACTTGTTGTTTTCTAATTATTAAATACATAGTTATTCACTGAATATTGAACTACCAAAAAAAAATCTCTGAGGAATAATTATTCATCTGTTAATATACTGACTACCAATAAAGTTTTTGTATTTTAGTGTTCTGAGAGCATTGTATAACCATGGAGCTGCAATGCTGAGGATTATTGGCTGATGTTTGAGGGCTGACTTTGGTGTTTTGGTCTCTTTGTTACAGAAGAACAAGGAATCAGAGCAGAGAGTAGGGTGAGGGAGTAGGAGAGTAAGGGACTTCGATCGTCTTACCTGACCAGCCAGGTGAAAGTTAGTCACTATGTAGTCACAAAGACTAAAGCAAGGGAGAAATGGATATTTTTTAAGGATGACCCTTTTATTTCTTCTCTTGACTGTATGGTAAATTCATACGGCAAAATTCAGGCTTGTGGAAAGGGAATTTGATGTTATTTTACTGAATCTCACAGTTATATCCAGCTACTCAGAAGTACCAAGATGTGTCTGACTAGGATCATTTGTATACAATACAGAAGACAAGGAATGCTGGCTGTAAAATTAAAAAACAATTTGTTTAGACTGGATTCTTATCTTTTGTGGAATAAGGAAAGAAGATGAATGCCAAAGGAGGAACCTTTGGCTCCTTTCACGAAGAACCAAAATCCTTATTCATTTCTCTGCTGTTCTGGCTGTGGAACAACGTTTTTATTCCTTTGAACAACACACCATGGTTCTCTCAGTGGCTTTACTAGTTACTTTAACTGTTGAATTAGGAATCAGAGGGGCTTCTTCTCAAATGTTTCTGTTCCAGCCTTGCTCTCCAGATGTAACAGAACATGTTCAGTTCTTCACCTCTGAGTTCCAATCTAATCAGAAAAGTAGGTGATGGAGAGATTTTAGTGGTCTAGGTAGCCATATCTAGGCTGTAATCTCTTACATAAACCTGATTCTAAAATGCTTTTTTAAAAAAGTATTCATTTCAGTATGTTAAAAATTAACAATAATTTGGAAAAGCACCAGGAAATAATTAAAGTGGAAGATGGAGCTTATTTTAAGGAAATGTGGCAAAAAAATGTGACAAATAGCAAATTCAAAAAAATATTTCTAAGTCTATAAGGCAGAGCTTTTTAGATGTACCTAAAGGATGGCTAAATTATCAGTTTTCATTGAAGTGTTCAGGGAGCTTGATAATTCCTGTGAGTAAGAATCCAGCAGGAAAAAAAATTAATATTCAATAATTCATTAGAGAGTTACTGTTCCCAAATTTCCAGAGGGACAGTAAGGACAAGAAAAAAAAGTAAGGATGAAAAAAACAGAATAGTAAATAAAGTATCTAGAGGCTTTCACTGTACAAGACTCATGCAGAACATCTGTAGAGGAACACTGTGGGGTTGTTGTGATGGGTATGACCTTTCCTTGTGTTTGTGGAGGTGAGAAGAACCACTGGATGCCTTTTCCTCCATGCTGGGCTAAGTCTGAAATGAGTCATATGGAACAGAAAAATAATTTATCACTTTATTTTATTTATCATTCAGAAAGTGATATTGAATGAAATCCTAGAGTACTTTGGAAGTTTTGCCATTGCTTTGTTAAAACAGTAAGCGTGTTGATATGAAAGCTAGTTAATAATAGCAGTTGGTATTCCTTATAGCTTGAAATTAAAAAAAAGGCTTCTGTTTGTATCTCCTACAGCACAGTGTCTCTAGAGCTAACTGCAATAAGATAATTATGTTATTTACGGATGGTGGTGAAGAAAGAGCACAAGAAATTTTCCATAAATATAATGAAGACAAAAAAGTAAGTTATTTATGAAAGATTTTACTGCATAATATACAACATTACAAAGAGGAACATTTAATATGGAAGTGAAAGCATTTTTGGTGTGTGTATAAAGTACTTTTTAAAAACATATTAGTATTGAACCTTAGGGCACTTAAAGCTTTCTCAATCTATAACATCTCTTTCACAAGACCTTAAAATATATTTCACATTTTTACTTTGTGACTCTTTAGTGTCAAGTGGTACAGAAGTATGCCGTAGCCCATAAAGAATTAAACTTTCTATTGACATTTTTCTTGTGTTAGTATAATCCTTGCATTATCAAGTGAAAACATGGGTGGCTAAATCATAGGAGATATATGTATATCTCCTCACGGTGAATATTTTATATATATATATTTTTGTTGTTTGTCAGGTTAAAAGCAGAACTGAATCCTCAAGGTTAGAATCTGAATAGATTTTGACTGGAACAAACCCACATGTTTTTCCCACTGGGGTTAATTATACATTTGGATTTCTTAGCTAGGAGGAGGATGGCTTTCTATTGATTAAATTTGATCTGTGGTTCAACCAGAATTATGGGCTTGACACGAGAATTACTGGATGACTTGTGTTGTTCAGATGAGATTGAATTCTTACTTGTGCTTTGTGTTTTGATTTTAATTTTTAAATTTAATCGAGCTTCTGGTCTGGCTTTTGCATACTTATAGATGTACAAATGTATGAATACGTGTATGTTGTATAAGTACGGGTGTGTATGAAAAAAATCAGCTTTGTAAATTGTCTCCTACATTTCAGTACACATCATTATATATAGAAGATTAATCACTTTCTAAATAAAAGTTAAATATGAGCTGGATTCACACTATATTTAAAACCTTAGCTTTTCTAGTACTTGGGGCTGTGTTTATAACTGTTTGTTGGTTTGTTTTTTTTTTTTCTGGTTTGGTTTGGTTTCAAAAATAATCACTAGAAGCTAGACCACAATTTACCAAGACACTTTAACAGTTGCCATGGGTGCTTATGTATAAGACAATTTAAGTATTTCATTGAAAATTCTTATATCTGTGAAATAATCCCTTCAAAATGGTAGCGAGAAATGCAAGACGCAACTTCCATCTTGACCAGTGATTCACTCAGTGACCTTGAATAATCCTTTTGTGTCTGCTTTATAATAGCGTTTCACATGAAATGATATGGTGGGGCTTAGTTAATCTTCGTGTCTGAGCTGCAAGTATGTTTTAAACTGACAATTATAATGAAGAACTGAAATCATAGCAACTTGTCGTGTGACACGCATGGCTGGATTCTGAAAATACATGCAAAGATTCCTCTTCAAATTTGGACTTGGTAGCTTTTATTATGTTTTAACAAAACCAATCAGCTTAAGGAAATATGTGTTTAAGAGGGAAGACATATGATCCATTTCTCATTACTTTCCATTTAATTTGCTGTGTTAGGAGGAAAGTATAGTGAAATTTCCTGTCCACACAATAAAACAGATTTGCAGTGCTGAGATTTGGGGTCTTAACTCACGTCATGCCTGATGTTTGATTATTCTGTGAGGTAAATAAGTGTAGGATTTGCTATTTTAAAATGAATATTTTATTGCATCGTTTAATACTGTAAATTTGAACTGCCAAGGGTTGAATTTGTCTTATATATACACTATTATATATAATACAATACACCTCATTTTCTCATTGCCTCTAGTGAATGAGATTTAGGGGATTTTCTTGTTTACAACAAATGTATAATGGTGATAGCAGTCACTGTATGGGTTTCTGATTATTTAAGTATATTTTCTTATGTAATTAAATGCAGTACAAATGCAAGGCAAGGCAAATCTACTACATTTGATTAAGTTCTATGTATCTACAAGTTCAAACTATAGTAAGCACTTAAGTTTTGTTACTTGTCTAATAAAATATGTGTTTCTAGATCCCTCACTGTTTTTCTTCAAGGTGACATTGGAAATACAAGAAATACTCAGAAAGTTTATGCAGGTGTCATTTGAAGAACCATTTGCTTTCTCCTTTTAGTTTTCAATCAGTGACAATCCTCGTGGTGTTAAGGGGCAATTTATGGTTGAAAAGCTTCTAATGAAATTGAACCATTAATTCATTTTTAGGAATCATAATGAAACCTCTTTGACAATCTTTCATAACATTCTAATATATTTAAAAATAAGGCTTAACACAAAATATGCTTGTGGTCATGCTCTCCTTAGTAGACTACATTTGATTCCAGATTGATGACATGTGAGGTCTCTTGTTCCCTATCTGTGCAATTTCATGTTAATATCAATCCAGTAGAGTAGTATAATATAATTGATAGACACATTCTAACATGAAAAATGCATATATACTTTTAATTTTCTGAAGTCATACTCACAAGCATAGTGTTACCTTTCCAGATTGCATAGTAAGCTGCTTTCATATATTAAATGATGATTTATTTAAAGATATGTGGATCTAGATCGTTTTCTTTATTGTGGTTAATTCTTAATTTGTCTCACAGATAGCTCGTTGACTGTAAGACCAATTTTATAATTAATGTTTGTAGAGAGACTATTCAATATGACTCAGGTGTTAAAACATTTCCCATGTTTTACAGCAATAGAACTTCATAGCATAAATATGTATCAGCGGATGTTTTTTCTTGCCTGCAAGACAAGAACATTGGACACTTTGTGTTTCACATACAGTATATAAAAGATGGATCTTTATTATATCAGATAAGATATATCAATGACAGTCAGTCACTTCCTATCTTAGATACACTGTGTTGTAAAATTACCTTTTTTTTCTCTCGTGCAAAGAAAAGACCATTCATTCAGATCTGTTAATCATTGTTTTCATTCTCCTCATGTAAAATTGCTTCAGCTCTAAAATAATTTTCTTCTTCATGTGAGTTACTTTGTAATTCCTTGGCATGAAAGAAGCTCCAGTAATTTTTGGCCCATCAGGTGACATGCATTAGTACCCTTGTTTGCAGTGCCCTTAGTGCAATCTTCAAGTTAACAAGTGGAAGAATACAATAAACAACTGGAAACCACTTAAAGAGCAGCCCAGAATCTAAAGATTATTAAAATTATCCTGCTAAATTTAGGGGTTTAATCTCTTTGAAATAGCATACAGATATATTTTAAATATTTTTCTGTCTTCCAAATTATTTAAGTTATTAATATTTGGGTTAGTTTAAAACTTATGTAACACAATTTTAAATAGGAGCATTCATCTGTTAGAAATGGAAAATCACAGTTGTGTTTCACCTTTGCATGCCTTTGTCCCTTTATAAAGCCAGATTTTATTGTCACAGATTGCAACTACGTGCTGTGTCTGATATTTAAAAATTGGCATGTTTACCTTTATGGTGACATTTTGGGCACTCACATTAAATGTGTGAAATACCACACACGTGCTAAGTTTCAGGAATGGGGGTGGTAAATTTTCATTTTATTTGCACTCATACTACAGATGGCTTCACTGAAGACAGCAATATAAATTTAATTGAAATGTAGACCTAGTAGGCGTTATCCATCCTGAGAATTTTGAATTCAGGTTGAAAATAGAAAACTAACTACAGCTTTTTGGGGCAAATCGTGTACCCTGAAATATGTGTTTTGATGGATTGCTCAATTTATGCATGTAGGAAAAGACCTTAAACATTCCTCATGCTCTTACAATTGTTTGAAATCAACTGTCCCACTCAGGTAGGATTGATCTGACCCTTCAGGTAGGAGAACCATAAGTTGGGTCTCATGTCTTGTTGCCTCAGAATGATCTGTTGTGATTAATACAACCTCATTTTGTGTAGATTTTTCTGACAGTACTATTTGAGAGGAAATGGTGTGCAGAGGAATATTCCAACAAATCAGTTTCATTAAAAATATCTATATGTGGTGGACACAGAACTGCTACAGTGATAGAGATAAGGCTCTAGCCTTTTCCTTAGGGGACAAGGCTCCAGCTTGCTGTGACTGCACGGGGAAGCTTACAGCTGCCAGTGACCTCCTCCAAATGGGACACATTCAGCGTGTCACTGGAATGATAAATACCTGTGAGAAGGCACTTGCAAAGCTTTCTTCTAAAACAAAAATACCTCCTACTGTCATTATCAAAGTACAGAACCATTTTCTTCATTGTTTTGGATGCATTATTGTGCCACTGCATGTCAGTAAAACTAAAAGGAAGATGGTATTAATCTAGGCATGGTATTTGAGTCATTCCAGACAAGGCTGAAAGTTAGTCCTGACTACTGATGACCATTGACAAGGGGCATGACACTTCCACTTGAAGTAGCCATGGGGTTCTCAGCAGTTGTTGAGTGGAATTGATATAATTTTAGGGGTTACTTACAGAGCCAAAAATAGAAACAGCATCTTTCTCAACATTAATATCAGCTTCAAATAGAACTTAACAGTTGTCAAAGTGTACCCCAGCAGTTCTTGTGATAGGTGATAGGATTGTGACACAGGATATAACATAAAGTAATTCAATTAAAGACTGAACCGAGCAAAATTCTGGTTTATATATGCACAGCATGTAGCACAGTATGATAGATAAAATTTAAGCCATTTTTAAAAACTTTCTGGAGTGTGGATTGTTCTCTGGCTTCTCTACATTAGCCTTCTGTGATCTTTAGACTACCAGACACTAAGATATTTCTCATTCCTCCTGATAGTCCCTCTGTGCTGTGGATTTTTGTGGGGTGATGGTACAGGAAATCCCATGTAGACGAAATCTCCAGCAAGCTGGTTCAACTGGCTCCCTGGCTCCTTCCCTAATCACTTCTGTCTTCAGACTGTGTCATCTTGCAGCTGTTAATTTTAATTTATTGTATGTACTGTGACATGCACCACTGGTAAAGCTAAAATATTCTGAGTGAAACCTGGGTCAGTATTTAAAAATTCCACAATCTATTCCTTTTTCTTTCAAAGTAAAAGTGGAAAATATAACATAGTGTGTTCACTGAAAAATATCTTATTCTTAAGGTAAATTATCTATTTTTTACCT